AAATGAAAGTTGGTCAATGTTTTGAATGCACACATTGCTAGCTCTAAATGGTATAGAGTTACAGCATGTCACCAATCTCTAGATAACTACACTGTATTCTCATAAGACAAGGAGAAAGCAAATGCAGATCTTAGCGTTATTATGAAAATAATTTTGACCTCACAGACCTTCCAGAAACATCTCAGGACCCCCACATTCCCTAGACCATATGCTGAGGACTGCTACTATAGCTGTACTACTTTACAATTTCACATACATCCTGATAATTTCCCACTCTGTGCAATATCTTGTGGAACCCTGACTATAAACAACGGCATAATTCTCCATCCTGTGGGTAGTTCATACATTATCCAGCCTTCCTCCTGTTGGTGCATGTTGGTTGACTTCAACCATCTGTCTGCAACGAATACCCTCTTGCAATGCACACATCTCTTATTTGTTCCTTAGGATAAATTCCTGGCAGTAGAGTTACTGGACCATTGAATTCTTAAGCATTTTTTCCTGGTCAGACCAAGACTTTTGAGGCAACGCCAGAAAGGAAATAGCCTCAAAGATACACTACCAGTTGAGCAACAAGAACACTTTATTTAGACAAGTCTCTTGTCAGTATTTTACTACTCTAGTTCCATTTTCCCAGTAAATTATCTGCCTAATAGATGGAAAATTACAAATATACATGTAATTAGTTTTGTCTAATATGAATTGATTTTCATTGCAAATCCACCAACCATATTCAAAATGTGATTAACAACTCATAATCATCAAAGCAATAAAAATTAACATTTATTGAAAATTTGTTCTGTAGCAGATTCAACGCTAAGCCCTTTATAAGTAATCTCATTAGCCTTAGCACAGACTCTACAGGTGGATAGAATGAGCTCTAATGGCAGATGAGCAACCCAAGGCATTGACAGGTGTTATGGCCTCTTGAGGAGGCAGAGCTGAGGCCAGACCCAAGCTTGGTCTTTCAGGCTGACAGTTTCTTAGTGCTCACCATGAAGCAATGAATGTTCTAAGCTACAAAACAGTGACAAACCAAAGACCCTGAGAAGTTTGTTACCTGTCCAAAGGAACATAGCTAAGTGGTGGATCCAGGCTCAGATTCCAAGCCCTGCACTTAGGGGTTCTCTGTCTCTCTCCCAACCCAGGCTGTTGCACATGAAGTAGTGCAGATTAGGAAGTTGCCAACTTGAGCTAAGCAATGAAAAAGGGTTTTTTGTTTTTTCTCCTCTGACTTAGAGATCAGGTTTGATGAGCAGAGAGCAGGCTGGACTTTGGGCCCCCCAGACCCCACCCACCAGCACCCTGCTACAGAGCCGGTTTTTCTGTCCATCAGTGTCTCTCTCATTGTCTCTCCTGCTTCTCTTCTCCCTCCCTCCCTCCCTCCCTCTTTCTCTCCCCAGCCCCTCTCTCTGTCGCTCCTTTACCCTTTGGAACCATTTCCCAGGACTCTGACATTCTCTAGCGAGGCCATCTGGCTGGTCCCGTTCCCAGAAGACTTTCTTGTGTTTCTGTCCCTAACCATGACATTAGCCTCACTGGGGCCCAGAGGAACCACAGATCTCCAAGGCCCACTTGGCATGGCCCGCTGCGATTCTCTCCGGGTGCCCACCGCAAGACGCGTTTCTGGAAACGAATCAGACCCACCTACCGCACCCGCCCGCCCACGGGCTGCGTGTTGCGCGGGACATTCAGCCGCGACATCCCGAGGGCAGCATGTTCTGGAGCTGGCCTTCACGGAAGAGATAACGCGAACATTTCACTTGCCTGGCAGATATTTTTAGTCTTTTGTCCAAATTTCGGAAAGAATGGAATTTTGGAAATATTTTCTCTTACACTTTTAGCATTCCTGTGCTGACTCACCGCCTGGGGAAACCGTGGCTTCCCGTTGCTTCGGTTACGGTAAACATTAAAGATTGCGGCACCTGGTTAGGCCTGTTCCAGGCCCACTGAGCTGTGCCCCCGGCACCCGCCGGCTCCCCCGCGGGCCCCGGCACGTCCTCTGGCCTGGCCACGCCCGCGGCCGGCGGTGCCAACTCTGGGCCCCATCCAGGTCCCGCCGAGCTCCACACGCAGACACGTGCGCTGCGCTTTCCGTCCTTTCAGACCTGTTCCTCTCTGATAGTAAGAACATGACCTCAGGTAGAGGCAGCAAATTAAGTTTCCAAGCACGCTGAGGTCACTTTAAGAATTCAAAGGACGTGAGACACCTGCCTGGAGGGCAGCCCGTCCCCTCTGCCCTCCGTCCCTTCCGAAAATGCCAGCGTCCAGCAGTGACCGCAGGGGCTCCCGAGTCAGGGAGGGGGCGGCTGAGACCTGGGGACGGGCGAGCGCCCTCTTCCCCGCTCCCCGCCGGGCGGAGGCCGGACCTCCCGGCGCCGAGAGCCCCCCTCGGGGGCGCGCTGCCCTCTCGGAGCCGGTTTGCCCCAGCGCCCGCCAGGAGGTGAGGGACGGCGGAAGCCCGGGGCGACAGGTAAGGGGGCGGGAGGTGCGGAGGTGGGGAGTGCAGCGGGCGTGGACACTGGACCGAAGAGGACTGGCGGTGGGCGGAGACTCCGGGCGGGAGGAGAGGCCCGCGGGGCCCCGGGGCCAGAGGTGGGAGGGAGCGAGAGCGGCGGGGACCGAGGTGAGGGCAGGAGGTGAGGGCGGGGACCGGGTACCTTGCGCAAGGTGAGGGCGGGCCGAGGCTCTGGGAGGGGGAGGTGCCAGTCTTGGGTGGGGGACGGGGCGGGCGGACGGGAGCCGGTGGGGCGGGCACTGGGGCGATTCGCCAGTCCGTGCGGACTCAGGTTCGGCCCAGCTCCGGACCTGGGCCGCGGGGCAAGCGGGCGCTGTTCCCGACCCCGCGCGGACTTCGGAATTGGCACCGGGACGGACAGGCGCCGCAACCCCGGCGCGTCTCCGCCGGACCCCGCGAGAATGCGCGCCCAGGCGGCCCTGGACGCGCCCCCGAGCGAGCGGTTCCTTCCCCGGGACCCCGCGGCTTCCCGGGACCCGGACGCCGCGCGGCCGACGCGCAGGAGCGCCGTGGAGAGGCTGGCGGCAGACCGCGCCAAGTACGTGCGGGGCCGGCCGGGGGCTGGCCGGGGCTCTGCTTCCGAGGACAGCGGCCCCGCGGCGATCAGGGAGCTGGGGCACGACCCCGGGCCCCCGGCCCGCGCCCCGGGCCCCGTGGCGCGCAGGGCTATCGCGCGGAAGCCGCTGCGGCCGGACTCGCTGGTCATCTACCGGCAGAAATGCGAGTTCGTGCGAGGACCGGGCGCCGACGGCTCCAGGGCGAGCCTGGTGAAGAAGCTTTTCCAGGGGCCGGGCAAGGACAAGGCGCCGGCGCCCTCCGAGACGCCCCGGCTGGGAGAGGAGGCCAGGGCCGGGGGCGCGGAGGCCGCCCCGAGCAAGCTCGGCCCCGCAGCGGCTCCCGCAGCCCCGGCTG